TGTGTGTGTGATAGTGAAAGCATTTTATGCTTTTGTGAGTTTTATCATCACAGATGGGCCAAGGCAAATGACAAACTTTAAAGGAAAATTCTGACTAGCTTTAAGTTGATTGGTCATCAAGCTCTGTCTAGTAGTAATAGTTTTGTCATTCATGATGTAGATTTGAAGATCAGTTTGAGTTGGAAATTGGAATTAGGTATTCATTGATGGCTGTCTGTCAGGGGTTGAGATAAACGAAAAGGGTGTAGATTTGACGGCAACAACAAAGAAAAAATGGCAAAGTTAAAATCGAGTCCTTAACAATTATGAACTGAGGGGGACATGTTTGACTGACATAGACTAAGTCTGTACAGCACGACCTGACCTGATAGAAACAATTGATGACTTTGGAAATGTTTGTAGATAACTGACTTGAGAGACCAAACAACAGGCCTGAAAAGCAGGATTTGCTGTGAGACTCAGGGCCGTTGCCCTTCAAAAAACTTCGATAAGAAGGTGAGATTGGGCCTTTAAGTAATATTTTACTTAAAGGATTAACTTCCGGGGGCGCGGCCTGCTGCTGACCCTGTGTCTCGCTGTTGTCTCGTGGTGTTTATTTATTTAAGTTGTTATTTTATTGTTTTACTTCCTTCCTTTTTTAACTATAAGCACGCAGTATGAATGTGTTCATGATCAGCGTGACTTCGCCGCTGTTCGCTCTGGTGCTGGCGGGCGAAGCCTTTGAAGATCAATTGCCGTCTATGGCATCGAACCGGATTTATTCGAGAGATTTCTTGCTATCCTTACGATATAACAATAACTATGAGGTCGATGAGGTCGATATGGCGATTCCAGCAAGGATATATCTGCACAAAGGAAGGAGATTAAGAACTAAGAAACGAGGGTCGAGAGGTGGAATCCGGAATAGACTGCGGAGGCGAGGAAGTCGTCACCCCCTTCCAGTGATCACGCTGTCTAACGTAAGATCTCTTAATAATAAGATGGACGAGGTTTCACTCCGAGTCAAACATGAGAAGGATTTTAGGACAAGTAATCTCATCTGTTTTACTGCAACATGGCTAAATGAAGATCATGGTGTGTATATCGAGGGATTTAACACAATTCGAGCCGACAGAGACAAGGTTAAATCACGGAAATCAGTTGGCGGGGGACTCTGTATGTTTGTTGATAAGAACTGGTCATCGCTGTTTACCATCATTGAGCAGACTTGTACCCCGGACTATGAGACTTTGGTTGTATCCTTTAGACCCTTTTACTTGCCGCGGGAATTTGGTCGAATAACCATATTCCTAGTTTATGTACCAGGACCTAATAATAACGAGGCAGCGGAGCATATTGCAGAGAGCTTTGCTAGGATCCTAACAAAGTCGGCAGACCAACCAGTCTTCATACTAAGTGAATTTTAATACACTTTCATTAACAGAGACTTTTCCACATTTGCAGCAATATATTAACTGTCCAACCCGCTTCTCACGCACACTGGATTTGTGTTATGGGAACATTGCCGATGCATATAAGGCAGTATGTCGAGCACCGATCGGTAAATCGGATCAATGTTATCCATCTACTGCCTACATAGAGACAATGCGTTAGAAAGGACAAACCTGTGGAGAAGAGAATTCAAGTTTGGAATAAGGAAAAAGAAGACATGTTGAAGGACTGTTTTTGCATTACAAACTGGGATGTCTTTTTTGACTCATGCAGAGACCCTAACGAACTAACTGACTGTATTACATCCTATATTCAATTTTGCGAAGAAACAGTTGTCGATACTAAAGTGGTCAAAGTCTTCTCAAATAATAAGCCATGGCTCTCTAAAGATTTAAAGAAACTCCTCAACGAAAAGAATCGGGCATTTCGTGAGAATGATAATGAGAGCTTTAAAATGAAAAGGAAGGAATTGAGAGCTATGGTACAAAAAGCAAAAATTGATTTCAAAAATAAGGTAGAGGATCAGTTAGCAAATCAAGATGCAAGGAGCGCTTGGCAAGGCTTGAATAAGATGATGGGGCGTGATTCGAGAAATGTAAATAATGATATTACTATAGGGACAGATGGTTTTAAATGGGTGAATGATTTGAATTTGTTTTATGGAAGATATGATGTAGCAGACAATGGTAATGAGATTAAAGAAATAAGTGATGGGATTCCTGAGGGGCCACCGATTTCGCTGACCGGTGACCAAATCAGAAGGTCCCTGAAATGCATTAAGCCATATAAAGCACCGGGTCCAGATGGCCTTAGGGGAAGAGTTTTAAAAATATGTGCAAATGAACTAACTGACCCCTTAACAAAATTATTTCAGTTTTTATCAAACTTGCAGATCGTACCAAATGCATGGAAGTTATCATTTATACGACCTCTTCTGAAAAAAGTGAGAGCAAAGAATTTAGAGGACTTTCGTCCTGTGGCTCTAACATCAGTACTAGCTAAATGCATGGAAAGAGTAGTTAGTTACTACCTTAAACCACAGATATCAGAGCAATTAGATGTACTGCAATTTGCATATAAACCTCAAAGAGGGACAGAAGATGCAACGCTCACTATGGTCGATACAATTGCTAACCATTTACAACAAACGAAGGCCTTTGTGCGTGTTCTTTTTATTGACTTTACATCTGCCTTCAATACTATGCAGATACATCTGCTCTTGGAACGTCTTCTGATATTTGGTGTAAATGGAGGAATTGTTCATTGGATAAAGAACTTCTTAATAAATAGACCACAGCGAGTTTGTTTTAGGGGGTTTGAATCAGATACTATGTTTTTAAATTCGGGGGCACCCCAAGGATGTGTCCTGTCACCTCTTTTATTCTCTGTTTATACAAGTGGTATTAGAGTACAGCATGATAATTACAAATTATATAAATATGCAGATGATATGGCACTTGTGGCACTTTTATGGAAAGATTGTGTACATTCTCAGTATGAGGATAAGGTTCTGGAACTAGAAAAATGGTGTGAGGCAAGTTCGTTATTGATAAATGTAAGTAAAACAAAAGAGCTGATTTTAAATTATTCAGAGCCCCTATCAGAAATAATGCTATGTGATCAAAAAGTTGAAATTGTTAAGACTTTTAAATATCTGGGAACTATGATTGACTGTAATCTGAAATTCTCTGACAATATCATTCTGATTTGTAAGAAAGCAAATCAAAGGTTATACCTGTTAAGGAAGCTGAGAGAATTTTCTGTAAGTCAGGATGTTCTGCAAAGAGTATATACAAATATTGATCGAGAGTGTCATAGGGTATAATATAACTGTGTGGTTTGGATGAGCTACATATATGAATAAAGTAAAATTAGACAGAATTACAAGAGTTGCTGGAAAAATTGTAGGATCTAAACAAAAATCGGTCGCACAGTTATATCAAATTGCTGTTCAGAGGAAAGCTTTGACTATAGCAAGAGATACATCACACCCTTTGAATCATGTATTTGAATTATTGCCATCACGTCGTCGTTACAGAACTCCAAAAGCTATTAAAGCAATATATAAACAATCTTTCGTACCAAATGCAATAAGTCTTTTAAATAAAAGGAAGAAATTGTGATTGTGATTATTTTAAGCATATATGTTTATGTATTGTGTGTTGTTAATTGTTTTTTGTTTTTTGTGATTGTAATTGCGAGACCAAAGACCAATTTTCAGCCAAGGCTGAACAATAAAGGCTTACTTATTTTCAGCAAAAGAATTGAAAGTGTGGGTAAATCACACTATGAAATAAATGTTTTTCTCCAAAACACTCTGGCTATAATTGTTGGCACCCCTAGAATTTTTTATGAGAAAAATATCTCTGAAGTACATTCCCATTAATATTTAATTTTATAAAAAAGGTCAAATTCCCTGAATCATCCATCACAATAAATAAAACCAAAGAACATGGTTGTGATGTGCATCAAAAGATTGTTGAGCTTCACAAAATAGAAAGTGGATGTAAGAAAATAGCTTTTATTGACCATCAGGACAATAATTAAGAAGTTATAATCAACTAAAGATGTTATGATTCTGCCAGGAAGAGGATGTGTGTCTATTTTGCCTTAATGGACGGTGAGGATGAAAGTTTGAGTGTCCAAAGACTCTTCAAGGATCACAGATGGAGAATTGCAGAGATTAGTTGAGTCTTGGGGTCAGAAAACCTAAAAAAAAAAAAAAAAAAAAAATTCAGACAACCCCTACATCCCCACATGTTGTTTGAGAGGGTTTCAAGAAAAATGCTCCTCGCTCACCCTCATCCTCATGCTGGATCTTGTATGTTGTGGGCCTATTTATTTGCTGGAGGTCCTGGACATCTTGTTCCGATACATGGTATTATGGATTCTATCAAATACAAAAAGATAAAAAATAAAAACCTGACGCCTTCTGCTAGAAATCTTATAATGGGCCGTGGTTGGATCTTCCATCTGGACAACGATCCAAAACAAAAAAATCAACACAAAAATTAGTTACGGAGCACAAAATGAAGCTTCTGCCATCTTTTATCTTGGCAAAAGTTTACAGATCTGAGGTTGCAAAAAGTTTTTAATAACAGGGTGCCAACAATTATGGCCAGAGTGTTTTAGAGAAAAACATTTATTTCATAGTGTGATTTACCCCCACTTTCAATTCTTTTGCTTCAATGAAAGGTTAGAATTTTGCCACTTTTTTGAATGGAAGATCAAAAGGATAAACAATGCAGAATTATTTTTTACAGCTAGTTTTCATCATATTTACCAGGGGTCCCATTGATTCTGAGCACGACTGTATGTGCATTGATCAAAAGTTATTGTGTCTCTTCAAAAGATTTGGTTTAAATTACCCGATTCATATAAATTTCTTTTATTATCCTTTTTGAACTTTTGGTGGAATGGACTTTCAGTGATTTCATTAAAAATATCTTCATTTGTGTTTAAAAAACTAAAGCACGTTATGCGAGTAACAGAAAGTAAATTTTTTGGTGAAATAACTCCATCAATTCATGTTAAACCATACAATGACAAAAGCATCAGTGAGGTCAGTCACTAAAGTCAAGAGGCCTGAATTCACTCCAAAGGTATTCAGTGGACTTCAGGCTTTGTAGAATACCTGGAATACACAAACCTCTAGAAATATGGAAACCTGTGCTCAAGTACCTTTCCATCAATGCTCTTTAGGTCGGTCCCTCCAAACTCTAACTCCAGGATTAAAAACTGCTGGTCATCATCAAAGTGATCTGTGCCAACAGAAGAAATACATTAATGGTCACTAAATATAAAACTATTTAAAGGGGGGGTTGACTGCTTTTTTTTTCTTTGCATGATTATGGGGTGCAATATAACATGTATTCGTGTTTTTTCTTTTTATAAAAGTCTTATTTTTCATAAACTTCACGGTTCACTATGAAAAACTCTAGGAAAACACTCCCTCAGAAACACGTAGTGGGCTCAGATTGGTTAGTTTGGCCCGGTCTGTTGTGATTGGCTAAACTGTCGCTCACGTTGTCCGGAAAGTTACGGGCGAAACGTGCATGTCATGACTCATGAGCTCCGGTCCAGATGTAAAATATGCGTCCAACTGCAGTATCAGTTTCAGGCATAATCAGACCGAGAAAAGCCACGACGAAGAGAGTCAAACAGAACCTCACCACATACTACAGGTCTTACTAAACGTTTCTCAGTGATAATTTGCTACATTTTTTAACTTTATACACGTTTATTTTACACAATCGCATCTGACTGGCAACAATAGCAACTGACTGGCTACTAATGTTATACTCAAACAGCGTTGGCAAGTTTACGTTCTTGATAAAATCGAAAATAACGTCATAAAGCATATATACATGAAAAATACGTTTAAAACATTAGTACTTATAGAAAATTCAGATCCATAATGTTTGTACGCGTTTGTCGTAGACACAAAATAGCATAGGCTAACTAGTAGTGGCTATAAAGCCAGCGCTGGCATTTGATAAAAATAAAACACAAGGCTACATCTGGAATTATACATGCAAATACATTTAAAATGATGAAGTCTTAGGCTACTTACAGATTGTGGCCCAACAACTGCTGCCTCTGGTTTTAAAGTCAGAACTGCTTCATGTTTTAGTTTCTTGTTGAATCCGGTGTTGAACTCGTGGAGATTCTGGAAGCTGTCTTCCGTAAAATGCGCAGCACAGAGAGCTAGATTACGATCGTCACTTTCAGGAACATAATCAAACATAAATAGTATCCATTGTTGAGGAAGTATAGCGTCCATGGAAAGCCAGAACACAGAAGACCTGACAGCTGCGTGAACACACTCGACGTGCCACAGAAATATGCGCATGCCATTTTCTGCATATTCAGAGGGAGGGGTTGATGCAAATGTGTCATACCATAACAGTACCAGTGACGTACCATAACCCAGCTGTAGTCCCAATCGAGTCGTTTTTGTAGGCAATTATACTTCCTGATTTTTAAAAGACGATATCTCTTCTTACATTGAACTTTCAGTGCTGCAACTTTGCAGATACTGTTCATGCACCAACAGCAACATTACACACTATTTAAAATGAAAAAAGTGAAATCGCAGTCAACCACCCCTTTCAAGACATAAATGGACTACTTGCACTGAGCTTCGTGACGCACTTCCGTTTGGAAACAATATATATCACTTATATCCAGTTATGTTTACTTTCAATGTACTGTGGTTGAACAAACACCACCTAAAAAGAGTGTCTGTAATAAGATTTTATATTTTGGACATTTTTATTGACAGAAGAAGGGATATTCTGATGTTTACCGTGAGCAGAATTTTCAAAACTCATCGGAACATGAAGTTTAAATCCAAACCAAGGCAATCCGAGAAAGCTGCGGCTGTTAAAAATACGCCATTATTTCACTGCAGCGTGCCAGTGTTCGTCTACACTAGTGACGGCGACGCTGAAATGTGAGAACAGATGAATAACATCAGTACGAAACACAAACATTTATTTATTTGGATTAAATATTGTGATCATTCAGTGTCATTTTTCAATGTCAATCGTTTTACTATTACATGTTCATGCCCAAAATGCTTAATTAATATTCAGAGACGTTGACTGTCATTCTCCTCTAACTGCGGGCGTTCTGATCGTAGGCACCTCGCGATCATTCATTCATTCAACTATTTTAAAAAGACAGGAATAAGCACCAATGTACTTTTTATTAGTCAAATTCATTAAAAAAAATGTAAACTCAAGTATAGAATATGAGTAGGCTAAGAGAAAACTACTGTTGTTAATGAGAAGACAGAAGACTGCTGCAGGTTAGTGGATATATATATTTAGCCTATTTATTATTCAGAATGGAACAGTTGGAAAGAAAATATATTTATAGGAACATTTCAGCAGGCTCGAGATAATTAATACAGAGATCATTATTCATTGTTTTAATCAATTGGCATCCATAAAACGTAGTGATAATCTGCATTCTCATGTATGGACGTGCGATGAACACTCCCGGAAACTCCGGGTATGTAATAAGTAAAACGCGGAAGTAGTTGTGCAAGTAGTCCATTGTTTACACATTTAGCTTACCAGGTCTGACATTCTTTGATCCCTGCCGACGGTAAAACCTGTCCCAGGCTTTGACCATAGCGTCCGGATAACGTCCACGGACACAATGTACACTAAAAAGTAAATGAATCGTTTACCCAAGGTAAAATTATAGAAAAACTATTTCTTTCTAAACAAAATGTCCTTCTTATGCGTGTATTCTTAGAAATATAACATGCAAACTTCCAATTACCTCATTTTACACTTATATAAGCTATAAAAAATAAAATAAAAATAAAAAGAGTAGAAGCATACTTGTTGAGCCCAATGAAGCCATCGGTCTTGTTCGTCTCGTTTATTTTAAGGCTATTTATCTGCCTGTAGGAACATTAAAGATGTGTTGAATATTTACACACCACTCATTCAAATGCATAACATATTTGTTGAGATATGCCAGAGATCCTACTTAGAAATGATGATCTCATGGAGGATTTCACGAAACGTTTTCTGATGTTGACCGTTGACTCGATGACTTCCTTCTACAGGGATGATCTATGGAAATTACACTTAAACATCACTTCAGTCATTTTTGTATGTTTAAGAAATAATTCTGCTTAAAAATCAGTGACTAAACATCTATTTACATACATAGATATAATATTTAAAATACATTTTGAACTTATGTATGTGTTAGGTGCATTAAGTCACCCTGTGCCCTGTAAGACAGTAAATAGTATGCTTCTACAATGAAATTGTATATGGATAAATTGAGCACATACTTTGAGAGCGATGGCCTCATTAGAACCATTTGAAATCGAGAAGACCTCTGCAAATGTCCCCTCGCCGATTTTTAAACAATGGTTCATGCCAGCTGGAGGGACACAGTCAAAAAAACAAAGTGGTCCGCTCTGCTGGCATTCCCGATATATTCTATCGGCATCGCTGATATTCTCATCACATGAAGTCTGGAACACAAAGGCAGAGTAAAAAAAAAAAAAAAAATGGGAGAAAAGAGACATTTTGGACAGTCTCAAAAATATAATTAATGGAAAGTCACACAAACATTCTGCAATACTGAATGTTTTAGATAATTAGTATTTACAAAGTTATCAGTGGACTTAAGTCAGTTAAAATTTAACCTTGAGAGATCTTTATTTTTACTTACCTTCAAGTACCGTGTAGACAAGTACTTGTGCAGGTTTCTTTTTTTTCGCTCATTCCATCCTCTGGCATGCAATGTGATCATATCTACTCGTGCTGTAATGACAAAATTATTAAATGTGCTTTTCAACTAGTGGTTAGTCACCAAGTAAGATGAATGAAAGAAAACAATCAAAAAGCAAGCTGTTTTATCAATTATAATGCTACCAGACCACAACACATGAGAAATGTAAAAAAAGGACCACTTACCAGCCTTAAGGCCATTGCACACCGAGCACGAAATATTCGTATGCGTATTTTCGTGTTCGTCAGCTTAAAAATTCGTCACGCATAGAAACCTTGCACACCGAGTCCGTTGCGTATTTCTTAAACCTTTGCGGGGAAAAACGCAAAAATACCAAATGGATTCGTCAAGCAGTGAGGATGATTTTTGCCCTCTCTCTTATTGAAAAGGGAAGAAAGAAAAAAAATATTACGTCCATCCAATCCTGAAATTGCGCCGAGACCGAGAGGAAGGAGACTTTCCTTATCAAGGAGTTGCGAATTTATCCTGAGCGATTCAAAATTTACCTCAGAATGTCAGTGGGACAGTTCGATGCTTTGCTAGCGATTCTAGAGCCACATATTAAAAACAAGACCACCAATTTCCGTGAACCAATCGATTCTGAACGGAGACTGGCAGTGTGTCTGAAATGGACCAGGTATGGACACACACGGACAAACACACACCCGCGCGCGGCCCATTGGAAGCGCTGGGCAGACAGAACAGCTAACGTTAGGCTGTTATTGTGTATTGTGCCCAAATAATACATTAGTTATCGAATAGGCTGCTCAATCACACCTTTTTCGATCCTAAATTTCAATCTGATTGAAAGGGGAGGTTTATTAATTTCATAATCCAATATAGAGAAGAGAACATAAACACTTGATCGAATTGAAAACCGAAACTGAAAGCACGGCGCATATGTGCAATCAATGATTTGAGGACGAGCTCCCCCCGGCCCTGAATTGTCAAAAGACCTCTCAAAATGCTGGCTCTGGATGCGAAAAACGCAGAAAATCGAACCCGATCCGATTAATTTTATGACGGACGAAAGTTTCGGAGGCGGTGTGCAAGCGCGACTGACATAACGTGAGGTCGAATTTTTTTTTTAACGTGCGAAAATTTCGGATGCGAATTTCGGACTCGGTGTGCAATGGCCTTTACTCGTGTATTTTGTAGTTAGAGCCACACGGGACAAAAAGCTGTTGACTTGTTCGACTTCTTCACCAATCGTTGTGCCTGCCCCTGTTTGGTTTTTGCCACCCCACTGCACCTACAGCATACGCACCAGATTATTTTATCAAAAATAAAAATATCAAGCTCAAGGACCTCAAAATGGTAAAGAACTTACCATACTGTTTGAGAATATACATTTACCTCACATTTTGTAGAGTGCCCCTTTGCATGCATAACTGAGAGAAATGGCTTCATCTCAGTCAAGTTTTGCATTTCTGGGAATGCTAGAGCCACTTTTTGCAGATAGGGCCAATACCGACACATTATGTCAGTGCAGAAGAACTTGCAGTTTGTTTTTGTGGCCAGTTCCTTTTGCAGAAACAGAGGGTATGCAAATATCTCCCCTCTAAACATGTTCAGACCTCTAAGCAATACCCAGACAGCCAATTGCACATAATACAAGTCAGTTCAGAGTTCCAAAATTGATTTAAAATGTTGCACTGAATGTTGATACAAACAATGGATGGTAACAATATAAGAGGGAGAGTATGTGAAATAGGTGGTGATCAAAGAGGAAGAGGAGGAGGATGAGAAAGAGCAGAGCAAGGTGTGGAGAATGTTTTAAAGGCTGGATCTGCTTTAGCGATTTTCCTTTTGCCTGAGATGACATTGTCTGTGATGTGGCCAAGGTCTTCCGGCCGGACCAACATGAAGACATGATGCTGACCCAGACAGCAAACTGACATTGAATCAACGTGGAAACGACGTCTCTCATGACATTGAAACAACGTTGATTTGCTCATCGAATTAACGTTGAACCAACGTCAGACGCGGCATTCTTCAAAGCTAAATGATTTTGAAAATTGGTTTGCTTTCATAACGTTGAAACAACGCGTTGATTTCAAGTTGATTTTCGGTTAGTTTTGAAAGAATGACGCGTCTGACGTTGGTTCAACGTTAATTCGATGAGCAAAACAATGTCAGATCAACGTTGTTTCGATGTCATATTTCCACGTTGATTCAATGTCAGTTTGCTATCTGGGTTACCACATATTAACTTTAGTTTGTCAAAATATTACGCTAGTATTCCAGGGACCCATTCACCTGTCAGTGCTGCTTCTGTGATGACTTTAAGCACCTCCTCCTCGATGACAGGGTTGTTACAGAGCTCCTCCCACAAACCTCTGATACACTTCCTCTCAGCCAGCGCCAGGAGCTGCTTCTTATTGGGCACCACAAAGCCAATCACGTAAGACTCGTCACTGAGAAAAGGGAAGAAGAAGGACTAAAATTATTTGTGGGTGTATTTAGGAGTGTTGACTATCAAAGTGTCAATGTGTTTTAGTTAGTGTTGGGCGATGTGATTTCATTTCATGAAATTGATATACATCACAATATAGTTATTTTTATTTTATTTCATATTTATGAACAACATCACATACAATTTAAAAAATACGAATGACTGAACTGTGCTTTAAGTACCTTTTCAGGTACAGTGGGTCTATTTAACAGTTGCATAATACATAAATTAAATAATTGTGGAATGTTTGCAGTTTGCTATCTGGGTATGCAGTGTCTGCAAACTGCCACCTCTAGGCCCTCTTCATCACATTTGTTGTTAGTCTTTTTAGAGGTCTCCCTGGCTGCAGCCCATGTTGATGTTCCACAGATGCCTTTTCCATGTACCTGTAACACAGTGTCATATCAAATATATACTAACTAAATCCTGATTCAATGTGTACAATACCCGGCTTTTAAAAATATCTTACTGGAATGGTCTTCTCACGAACACAATCAACAAATGTTGCTACATCTTTGTCATTGGCCAGAAAAACTCCATCAAAAAATGGTTGTTCCTCTGCCCTACATAAAGAAAATATGTTAATGACTAAAAATCTTCACAAGAAATGTTTACAGAGAAATTTATTAATAACATATTGATTTAAAAAAAAAAACAGACCACCAGACCAATTAATACTAGCACTTACCTTTTCTATTCTAAATTATTATATTTGTTTTTCCTGATTAAAAAAATATAATAATAATACCTTCCTATGTGTACTGTACTAGACTAACTGAGACTTATTAAAGCACTTGTATAATATTGCCCTACTGTTGGTCTGATTGCTTCCATTGTTCTCCACATTTGTAAGTCGCTTTGGATAAAGGCATCTGCTAAATGATTAATATAGATGTAATAATATACCTCTTTGTTTTGTTGAATCGATACAATTTTCTGTTTCCATCTGCAGACACAGCAACTGTATCTGGGGTGCAAGCTGGGCAAGAGAAGTGATCAATGCCGCAGAGTTTTTCTCTTTCATGACGGCAATATGTCCATTCAAGGAAAGCTTTTTGGAAGACGTTGCCACAAATGTTACCACTCTGGAATTATGAAAATTTGAACACAGGGGACATGCCAGTGAGACTTACGTAAATGCAAAAAACTAATGGCTTTCCAAGTCTTACCCTTCCAAATTGTTGTGAGCGCTGTTGTAACATTTTTACAAATGCTTGTCGTGAAAGCCCAGGTGCAGTGATCTTCAGGTCCTCAAAAGATTTGAAAAGGTCTACCTGGTATATGGTTTGAAACCCAACAGTGCCTGGCCAGTAACCACTGAACAAGAGGTCCTCCACCTCAGGTGTCCATGATGCAAGACATGTTCTGCAATTAATAACTGGCAGGAAGATGTCATAGCGACCTGAGAAGATTTAAAAAGAATATAAATACATAGTAAACACCACTGATACTCTTCAGACATCATTCAGCAGGTTAAGCCAATAGACAAATACAATACATAACATTGCATGTCATACCATTTATACAGATAAGTACAACTGATCGTCCAGCAACAACAGACAGGTTTTGGTGGTCACAATCACAAATTTTGTCAGGGTGTGTAATGGGCAGCAAACACACTAGATGAAAGAAAATATATATTGATTTTATAAAAAAGGAAATGAATAACATTTTGAAGC